TAAAGCTCAAGTCTAGCCTGAGCTACATGAGACCTTGTCTAAAAAAAAGAGATTAAGAAAATTATATGTGTAATCACATAATGCAGAAATGTTCCAGTGGTTGGTAAGGTGCAGGTGTGCTTCAGGGTGAAGGACCTCTCCATTGAGCTTTAGGAGGAGCAGCTCATCTCTAAAGTGGCTGACCTCAACAGACACTTTTAGAAAGGCAAAGGTCTCTCCGTAAAAGGAAGGCAAAGGCCAAGTGTGACTACTAGGAAATTGAATACACAATTGTAGATTAGATACCTAGATCAAGGTTTTGGTCATTTTTTTTTAAAGCATGACTCTGCATTCAACATATTTTGACAAAGCCAAAAATAATTTCAAAGCCACATCTGATTTGGGGGCAGACAGGTCAAAAGAAGGGGGTTCAAAAGGAAGACAAAGAATGTAAAAAAGGAAAATGGTTGCAGGATAAGCTGGAAGACAAAGGAAATAGACAAAGAAAGATGAAAGGTGAAATTATATAATGATTGATAACATTCTGACATGATATGGTCACATCAATCAACTGGGAATCAATCTCATAATGAAAAGTAATATGATCTCCTTCTAAAAATAAAATGCCCCCAAAAAACAAAACAAAACAAAACAAAAAATCTTTTCATGGTATATATTAGTTAAGTTTGTCTTTGCTGTGAACAAATACCTAACAAAGAGCAGCTTAAAGGGAGAGTCTATGACAGCTTACAGTTCAAAGACTCCCAGTCCATCATGGCAGGAGAGGCATGGTAGCAGGAGTATGAAGCAGCCAGTTACAGTGAATCTTAAGAAGCAAGTAGTACACTGACATCATCATTCCCTGTCCATATCCCCTTTCCACAGGGACAGCCACAAGCTTAGCTAGGCTGCTCTTATCTTACTGGGAAGAGAGCAATATGAAGTCTATCTAAAACGACTTCATTTTTTTTTAAATTGTAAAGGGAAACACCTGGGTCCTATTCACTACAGCAAAGAATATCCAAGTACATCTGTGTTCATTTTGTAGCCCTCACAATATCCTAATGTTTAGAGTTGCCTAAAAATAGAATATATTCAAAAATACTGAGATTCCTGTCTTTGGAATTTGTGCAAGCACTGACTGATCAACTATTCAGCTCAACCACTGAACAATCAATCAACAAGGATTCAAGATCAACCTGGTATATTTCTAGAAAAGAATATACTGATTTCTGTTTAGCCCTATAGAGATGGTTCCTGACTTCTAATGATTTGGTCTTAAGATTCTCTAATGCCAAACAACCAAGTTCATTGCAGCAGAAATCACAATGGCTAAGATATGAAAGCAGCCTAGACATGCATCAACATATGAATGGATAAAGAAAAATGTAGAATATTTACACAATACTTAGTCAATCACAAAGAATAAAATAATGTCATTTTCAGAAAAATGGGTAAAATTAGAGACTAGGATATTAAATAAAATGGAAAATGGTAAGACTCTGAATGACAACTATCACACATTCTATTTCATATGTAAAATGTGTGTGTGTAGAATATGAATGTAAAAAGTGGACTGTGAGGAAAAAGGAAAGCATCTAAACAGAGGGAGGAAAATGAAATGATAAAAGGAAAGAGAGAAGACACAGACTTCGAAGTCAGGCTAAATCCATGCCAGCTGTTCAAGAGGATGGATAAAGAGGACTGATGGTTTGTCCCAGAGTCCCTGCAGCAGAGGTTCCTGTTTCCTAAGTTCCAATCTGTGCTCACCACAGAAGGTAAAGTTCAATGGCCAGATCTCAGAAATGGGGTCATCCTTTACCCAAAAACCTGGTGAACAAGATACTGCAAAACAGCCACTGATCTGGGAAACCCTCTGTCACAGAGTAGTTCTTTGTACCCTAGCCCATGAAGGATACCCTTCATTTTAGAACACCATTCTCCTTTCCAGATCCCAAAAGAACTATTTCTAGTCTGGCCTTACAATCACTCTTTGCACTGGAAAGGGCCACATTGGCCCTCATGAGAAAAACTCAAAGGGAGCAAAGTACCTCCTTTGTTGCTTGCCCATCTGGTCTCAGTTACCAAAAATGGCATGGAGGGCACAGAAGGCAAAGCTCAGCTTCTCCCACCCCACCCGACTAGTTCTTTTGTAGGCTGATTTATACCATGCTCATTCATCCCACTAACTGACTGCCTCGTGGCTAGTGGCTGACAAAGTATCCCAGCTCCCATGCACTCTTAGGCTGCAGCCTGAAAGGGCAGACTTCTGGGTCCTTTCCTGCATTTCTTTCCAGAGTCAAGCCAGAGCAGCAGAGGGTGGCATAAGGTATCTAGGATCCCTGGAGTGCTTCTGGAAGCAGAGTCATAAGGGCAGCTGTAATCCATGCTTGAAGAGTTGGGGAAGGTGTGTCACACCTAGAAGGATTTAAAGGTGTGTCTGGGATGGGGATTGGGAGGATCACATTTTTATGTTATTCATATCTATTTATTTATGTCTATGGTACTTTAGGTTACAAAGCATTTTTTTTTCTTTTTCTTAGGCATTTTTTGGGGGGATATGAACTCAAGTAGCCTTAGACTGGCCTCAAACTCCATCCCCTATGTAGCTGATGCTGGACTTAAACTCCTAATCCTCCCAGTCTCCAGTGCTGGGATTACAGGTCTGTACCACCACTCTCCGGTTCATTTCTTGTTGGTATTTTTTTGTATTAATTTTGTATTGTATTTTTGTATTATTTTTTGTATCCCCCCTGTAGCTCCTTCCTTCCTCTCCTCCCAATCCCTCCCTCCCTCTCCCTTCTCCACACATGCCCCTCCCCAAGTCCACTGACAGGGGAGGTCTTCCTTTCCTTCCTCCTGATGGGCATATACTCACTCATAAGTGGATATTAGACATATATATAGGATAAACCTACTAAAATCTGTAGGTTTTAAAGAAACTAATCAAGAAGGAAGACTCTGGCTAAGATGTTCAGTCTCCATTCAGAAGGGCAAAGAGGATGGACATCAGAAGAAGGGGAAAACAGGGAATAAGTCAGAAGCCTGCCACAGAGGGCCTCTGAAAGGCTCTACCCCTCAGTGTATCAAAACAGATGTTGAGTCTTATGGCCAACCTTTGGGCAGAGTGCAGGGAATCTGCCTTGTTTTTTAAAAGCGTAATTTTTCTGCCTTCCTTACTACCAGCTTAACTGCCCACTTATACTTTATGGTCCACAGGCAACATTCAGCCTCGCTTCTCTGCCTTTCCTCCTGCGACTGACTGCACATTTGAGACAACTGGTAGCACGCAGACAATGGAAAGAAACCATCAAGAATCCTTCCCACAGGAGCTCTGAGGTTAATTCTCTCTTCCTCTTGTTTATTGAAATTCTACCCACCCATCCAGGCCAGCTTTATCCCTTCCTCCTCCATCGGGTGCACAGCTGTCTAGGGCCCTGCAGGACAGCTGAGAACTTTTGTACTCAGGACATGTTTTCTGGCCAGCTCTGTCTCTCCAGTGGGACTATGGGGCTTTCTTGGGGCAAAGACCTCACTTCACAATTTTCCTCTTGCCCTCCCATGTGGAGACCAGGAAAGGATATGTATTATATATTCTGGTCTTGCCTCAAGTTGTGTGTGGGTTTTCAAGGCCCACACACACCCAGGACAAATTGCTGCTTTCCAATGACTGGCCATTCTGTGAGTATTTCATCTCTCTAGTCTGTTTCTCCGTATGACAAAGATTTTTGTATTCTTTTCATGGACATAAGTTTAAGTCCCCATAAAAGAAACTTAAGAAATGCTATGTAATGTGGGCCGTATATGGATCTATCTAAGAGGCCACATATGCATATAGGTTGATAACCTAAGGAGCACGGTGAAGTGAAATAATAAATACGGGATACTCATCGTTGACAACTACGTCAAATGTCATCCCCTTCAGTGATTTTATTGGAAATTCCCTCAGCAACCTAAGGATTGTGTTTCCTGTTGGCTAGTCACCATAAGCTAATGGTGTCTTGAACTCACTGAATTCCTTTTCCTCACAACGAAATCATTCTAAGGGAGCAGTTGGCCTTCAGCTCTTTGAGCTCACAAAAGCCCCCAGTTCTACACATCTAGGGGACACTGACAAGACACGCATCGCCTGTTCGTTACTTGGAGGCGTAGCCCTACATCCCTGATTGTTTGTGCCATCCCTATGTTTTTTTACCCCGTAGGTGAGTGGGAGGCAGAGTCCGGAGTGTTCACTGCCAAACGGGCATGCCAAAACACGTGTTCGTCACAAAAGCTCTGGTTTCCTTCCCTGTGTGGAAAACGGCAAGTGAAAATATCTTCTCAGTAGGGTGTGGTGTTACACACCTGCCCCAGCACTCGGGACACGGGAGGATCAGCTGCATCCAAGTTTTCCTTGGCTGCAAAGCAAAAACAAGGCCAGTCTTGACTAGAGATCATGTCTCAAACACAAAAACTTCTGCCGAAAGCATGGATTCTGTCTTTGAATAGTTTCTTTTCTATTTTTTAGGGTGCTCTAAACCCAGCCGAAGAAACTGTTTTTTAACAACACCCTATTTAGGTGGGCTAAAGGCTCAGCTAAGTGCCTGCTGTGAAAGCATGACCCGAGTCTGAATTCTAATACTCCACACTTATGAATAAAAGTGGGCACGGAGGTCCATCCAGTAACTCCAGTGCAGGGGCTGGGGGCGTGGTGATCTTAGGGATAGAAATACTGAGCTCCAAGTTCAGTGAGTGAAAAACCTTCTTCCAAATAAAAGGTGGAAAGAAGTAAAGGAAGAGAAGATAGCCAATGTTACAAACTTCTGGCTTTCTGCACTCATATGTACACACACACACACACACACACACACACACACACACACACACACAATCCAGAACAGTGCTGTTGGTTTTTATTCCTTGTCCAATCTCTGATTCAGGTGTAACTTTTAAGGTAAGGTAAGATATTAAGAGACCCTGACTACGCCCACTGGGCCTTGCTTAACTGAAGGTGACTCGACTTGTGTCAAGAGTCCCAGCTGACACTTACCTGGCATGAGAGACACCATAATCACGAGAGTGGTTTTTCCCACGGTGGCAAGGCTCACCCATTGCACTGGGGGTGTGCTGACCCCTGTGATTTCCCCAAATGTGGGTAACTCAACTACATAATTTGTGGTAGTGAGAGACTGCTTTTGAGCCTCCCCGCCCCCTTAAAAAAAAAAAAAGTCCCAGCTGATAAAGCATGTATGGATTTTCCCTACAGAAAGCATGGTATTTGTATTCCGCTCCTTAAGCCTTCCCAGCACTGCAGGTACAAAGGTACCCCTAGAACCCTTTCACACATGGCCATTGGAGACTATCCTAGAGAGCCACTTAATATTAGTTCTTTAAGAGCTGGCCTATTGATGTCCCATAGGCACCATGGAAGACTGCTGGATTTCTTTCAGTTTTGGAAGTCCATAGTGCAAAGAGTCATTGTGTGACATTAGAAATTTGTCTCCAGATGGCCTTGGACTTCCTTTATTCAGGTCAGCCAAGTCACCCAGGACTTTCCACAGCCATTCACCTGACCCTCTCCCAGGACTAGGCTGGTTTTATAGGTGGCCAGCTTGACAAGCTTCATTCCTTCCTAATGATTCAGATGTCGTGGAGTAAAATGAGAGATCACAGAAGGATCAGCAGCATTTGAAAGAAACTGAGAGACCTGGCTTTCTTCCTAATCTGCTTCTTGCCCTTCTTTGCATCTCACCCTTAGACAAATTACCTAATTAATTTCTTCCGGCCTTTTCATCTTCTGGATGATGGTGTGATCTCTAATCTTCAGTACTGTGTGTTATGATCACTGTGGCCTAGTCCAAGTGCCAAACATATCATTGTTCAAACCTTAGTGGTTTAATAAGAATGGTTCCTATAGGTACATAGATTTGCATGCTTGGTCACCAGCAAGTGGCACTATTTGAAAAGATTAGGAGGTGTGGCTTTTTTGGAGTAGGTATAGGCGTGGTGGAGGAGGTGTGTCACTGGGGATGGGCTTTAGGGTTTCAGAAACCCATGCCAGAACCAGTTCTCTCTCCATGTTGTTTGTAGATCAGGATGTACAACTCACAGCTACTCCTCTCGCAGCATGGCTGCCTGAGTACTGCCATGTGCCCACTGTGATGACAATGGACTAAACCTCTGAAACTGTAAGCCAGCCCAAATTAAATGCTTTCTTTGATAAGTGTTATCATGGTCATGCCATATTTCCAGCAATAAAACACTAAGACATCACCTTACTTCTGTCAGGACATTACGGTTAATTAAATAGCAAAATGTTTGTTTTTCTCATCACAGTAAAATGTGCCTAAATGAGTGTTAACTGCAGCTGCCAAAGCTGGGTGGCAAATGATTCAGAATGAAATAGCAGAGTTAAAAACAATAACACATTTCTCATTTCATTTGAAAGGAGGGTTTAGAGTAGGGCCCTGAAAGGTCTTTAAAGACACATTTCAGCGAAACAACACCGAGATCTATATACATGTTTACAAAAATCACCCACTGACTGTGACTGTGGCCAATCCCATACCAAAATGCACTATAAAGCAGGTCCCTTTGAACAGCAGCTCATGGTGTACTTTTGGTTATCTGTGGTGAGGAAAAAAAAAAAACAGGCAGTGGTAAATCTATTTGGGCTCTGGAATGAATGCATTTTATATATAATTCTTTCTTGGCAGGAGACTTACCTTTCTAATTATGTTCCCTTTAGGCTATTATTAAAATCAGTCTGCATTTCCTAAGCATATGCTAGTGACAGTCACGGTAAGTAAGGTCTACCTGAGATTAAGTGCTGAAAATACATTATCAATCAATCATAGAGTGTATGTGTGGGGCTGTGTGCACACCAGAGCCTCTTCTAGCACTGCCACACAAGAAACAGAATGAGAAAGGATGAAGTTCTTACAAAAAGGCTTTTCCAGAGATGCAAGTACAAGATTATGGAATCCTTCTAGAGTCATAATCTCCTTAGGGGTCATGTATTATGAATTTTTCTCCGGTAAGATTAATGAATTTTTCTTTCTATTGCTCTTGGGCATTTTAAAATAATTTTCTATCAACTTGTCAAGAAATGCCAAAAATAAAGCTATGTGTGTGGCTTAGAATGCTTATGTTCAGAAAACGGAACATATTAACATGTGCAAAACCCTGGACTCTCTCCCCACCTGCGGAAGAAAGGAAAACGAGGACGGGTGGATAAGAAAGCCAATAGGAATTAGGAATAGTGATATGGTTTCAACTATACATGGGCGGCAAGAGGGATCACTTGACCCAAGGAGCTGAGGGCCATCCTGAGCTAAACAGGAAGGTCCCATCTTAAGAAAAAGATATGTCAAAAGTACATTGCACTGTGTAATTCCACACATGAATGTGTTAAAAAATAAATTTCTGTAGGTTTCACTAATAAATGCTGAGCTCAGAAGTCTCTTCAAACAGTGATCCATAAACATTCAATTTTACACACACACACACACACACACACACACACACACACACACACACACACCCTGAATTTGTGTACAAAAATAGTTCCTTAAACTTGGAATGGGTAACTTCATGCAATAACCAGAATCCATTTACGTATTTTCCTAGTACTCTGATCTCCATTCTGTGTGGTGACTGATAATGCTTAAAGCATCAGAAGCTTGAGAAAGCATTGAGAGGGTACTTTATACTATAAAATCAAAGTACATTCCAGGTCATAAGAGCGCCTTCAATCCATTCCCAAACATTGCTAGTTGTGCCATGTTCTTCCCAATAGTTTTGGTTAGTGTTGTCTCAAATGATAATAACAAGACTGAATCTTAACACTAATGTGGTGCACTTGAGTTGTGGTTGAATCATTCCAAATGGCCTATCTTCATCTGAATATTGGCTTCTTGAAAAACAACAGAGATGATCCATGGTCATATGCACTAAAAATCGACATATGGCGCCTGTGAAGAGTCATATTCCTTGTGTAAGAGTCCTTAAGTTACTCACGGATCCCTTATTAGTCTTCCACTATCAATATATTTCAACTAACGTAATTAGGAAAATAAGTGTGACATTCTGATGTTCTTGCCCTCCATGTGTGCCACCATATTCAGTTTCTGGGGTGCTGGAGATGGAGTGCACGGCTCTCACACATTAAGGTGGGCAAGCATTCTATCAACTGAGATACATCCTCAGACCCCTCGAACTAGTTTTAAAAGTACAAATGGGTTTTAGAAGAATAGTTTAAAACTATAGAAACTCAATTCATGAGGTTATCATAGAATGCAATTACATTTTCCCCAGTAAGTTCTGGGCTGAATGTTTTGAGTGATTTTTTGTTCCTTCCAGGAAGGCAAGATGTATTTTTATATTTGCCAAACAATGAGATCTCTCTCTGTCTGACTCACATGCATACACAAACAGAGCCGTTCCTCTAGTACAATGGTTCTCAAGCTTCTTAATGCTGTTACCCTTTAATGCAGTTCCTCATATTGTAGTGAGTCCAACCATTATTTTCATTGCTTCTTCATAACTAATTTTGCTCGTTATGAATCATAATGTAAATATATGATATGCAGGATATCTGATACGCGATCCTGTGAACAGTTCGTTTGACCCCCCAAACAGCTGCAATCCACAGGCTGAGATCTGCTGCTCTAGTGGATCTTATGTTTAATTTATTAAACTCTTCCACTATGGAAATAAACATATCTTTCAACACAAAATAGGATGTAGAATTATTTGTGGCACCATCTACACTTATTTTATTATTAGATATAGTATCATAAGTGACAACTTATATTTCATGTAAACTTTTAGGTCTCTAAATAGTCTAATTCAATTTTTAAGGTGCAAAACAATTCTTTGCAGTTCTTTTACTTTTATTCAAATAATAGGCACTCACTCTTTTAAAATACATAATCTGAGTTATGATTTTTTTCTTTTTACTTGCATTCCTTCTGACAATCTCTTCCATAACTTTTCCCTTAAGTGTAGAGTAAGTGAAGTGTTTGAAAGAAAATGACTTTATAAATAACTTCGTAAAACTCTGATCCTTTGCATGTTGCTAACTGTGGGAAGTCAAGGTCTGCTCATAAGGCTTTTATTATGTTTCATACTCCAAACTCTAAAGGTTTTCAAATATTCAACTTGCCTTTATTCCCTTTTTTAGGGCAAGGGGTGGTGGTGGTGATGGTGGTGAGAATAAGCCTGCCAGCTGTTGAGAAGCCAAAAGTTGTCCAGTCAGGCCTAAATGGAAAAATCTATGATTTGTTTATTTCATAGCTCAAGTTCAAAAGCAAGAGACAATTTAAATAATAAAAGGGGAACAGGGGGAAATGTAAAGAAAGAAAACAAATCAGTAAGCATTCAGAAAAAAAACTTCAAGAGTATTTAATTCGGAAAACGTTATTGGTTTGGAGGACTTGATTGAAAGAAAACAGCTGGGCAGAGTTCAGGTTTTAAATGAAAAACAATCTAACAAGGTCTAAAGGGATAACTCTTTGAGCTGTATTTTAGAGACCAGATTCATTTCTACCAAGTAAAAGTTATAGCAGTCTAAGCTAAAAAGGAAATTCTTCACAACTGAGGTACTTACTCTCAGCACATTTTCCAAGTTCTCACAAGGCAGCCCAGCTATTTACAATGTTTTTACTCTTATATAAATGAAGCTGTTTTCTGTGATTTGCTTAAAAAAAAAAAAAAACAAACACTTATACACACCAGCCAGAATATGCCTATTTTATTAACATAGTGCTTTAATAAATAACTGGCTACTTCTAATAAAATTAAGCCTCTGTTTACAACAGCCCCCAATATTTCATTTTGACCATTCTGTAGAATTTGGTGTAAAAACTTGAATGAAATGTAGACCCTGAGCTATCAAGTAATTATTCTTCGATATAAAAATAGAGATTTCCTCTTCAGCTGAAAGATTGAACAATAACATGAAACCACCTCTTTGTGGGCTTTCAGTTCCGTAGAATCCTGGGGTCTAAATGACTTTTAGAACAGGAAGAGACTTGCATGGTTGTAGTCTTTCTGAAGACTTGAGAACTCATTTTGAAATGATCTGCTACATTCTCCGGGTTTTCTGACTGGTCATTTGCATACAAGGAAAGAGCTTCCAAAGGGGCAAGGCAGTGGACGGTCTTTGGCCTAGAACAGTTAGGGCCTTTGCCAGTTCACCCACATGGCTAAGTGTCACTGAGAAGATGTGCATTTCTCAGCTTTACTGACCCCCCCATTCTTCCCCCAAAAAACAGCATATGAATCTCTGAATACCTAGTTCTCCTCTCAGTGGGGCTCCTTGACTAGGATGGATAGCAGAACGGCTGCAAACACTCTGAGCCCTTCATTTAACTGATCAAAATGGAGTAGCAAAAAAAAAAAAAAATCAAATTTGATAACCTTACGCTCTTTAAAAAAACTGGTACCTAAAACAAACAAACAAAAAACCAATGCAAATATATACACAGAGACAAGATATCTGCTCAAAAGGGTGTTGACAGCTATTCCCTGAGCCCAGGCTGTACCCCAGTTCTGGCTAGCTGCCAGACAGCTCTGTTTTATGGCACTCTTTCCAGAGTGGTCAGTGGGTCAGAAATCTGGATCACTCTAACACAGGGGACCAAACTAGACTGTGGGTCTCTTGCTACTGCCATTGCGATTTAAAAACAAAAACCGAAAAACAGAGTGTCAGCATGGGTACAGAAACTGGTATAGTGTGACTTCCTAACTCGTCTAGTTTTTACTAAACACGTCCAAGGCCAAGTGTGTGCATGGGGTAAATGGGGCATCCTGAATGCCTCTCATCTTTCAAGGGAAGACTTCATCAAGAATCTTTTATTTTCCTGGCTGGGGTACACATTAAGTATGGGTAGGTTCAAGAAATCGAGCTGCGTGGGATTCAACTCAATCCAAATGGGTGGTCTGCAGTCTCTTCCAGCCCCCAACTATGAAAGAGGTCTAAATCTTTCCTTGTACTGGTGAGAATACAATTTGGCAAGTGGCTTAGAAGGCCACTTGTGCCTTCACATTCTGACCTAACTTGAAAGAGAGAGAGAGAGAAAAGAAAAGAAAAGAAAGAGGAAGAAAGAAAAGAAAACCCAAAGTATTTCCACTTCTCTCCACATGAGGCAGCAAAAATAACAGGGATAAATGGAAATTTTACGGCTTGTTTGGGCTTTTTCTTTTAATAAGATAACATGATAAATAAACCTGCTTCTGTACAGCTATTTAATATTTCAGAAATACGTACATGTTACATGCCAAGAAAGGACCCTGGTTTTCTTGTGAGAAACAAGGTGAAATTATAACGGGAAAAGAAAAACCCCACAAATAAAATGAGAGAGAAAAAAACAAAAAAACAAAACAAGAGTGATAAGATCACAAATGCACAACTAACTACAGTTCTGTACCTACACTGTTAGCCAAGTTTAACACGACTCTGAAGGAGCAGGAACAAACTTCAATGCAGGAGTTCCTGCTGTCCCCAACTGAATGAGAGAAACAAAGTCAACAAGGCTTAAACCAGTGGCCACATTGTAAAAACTGTACACTTTTGTCCATTCATTTAAAAAAACAAAGTCATTAGGATGGTCAAAAAGTGAGAACTGGTGCCTTTTAGCTTTCTGATGATGTACATTATTACTCAGAGTTTGACAGTTATCTCCATTCTCTCTGCCAAACGAAGACCAAGATGCAAAGGACAGTGAGGAGGTAGGGCTTTGCCTCGGCATGGACGCCGACATTCTCGGCTTTCTCATTGACACTCTTCCCAGCATGGTCAGTGGCATTGAACTCAAACTCTGAAGGGCACTGTTGGTATTCACATCCACTTCCACTTCCTTCTCCACTGCTCTCATCACCTACGTTGAAAAGACGAGAACAAAGATTTCATTGCACAGATTCTCGCCAAGTCGGATGAAAGCCAATCCCGTACTGAAACATCACAAAGGCTTACTGATATCAAAGAAGTCCACATCATTTCCATTGTAAGCATTCTTCATTTTACTGGTCATAACCCGAAGGGCCATGATCTGACGAAGGATCAGTATGTCCGGTTTGCTGGTGTCAACCTGGACTTCTGGGTTATTGCCCTGGTTGGCTAATCCATTTCCTGTTACTGCAAACAGGTACCTAAAAAGTAAGAAATGAACCCGTTAAAATGACAGGTGAGTATAAGAGATCAAAGACTTTGCTCAATTTTAGGATCTTCGCTGAGCATGGTGGAACAGTTCTTCCATTTATAATCAACTCTTAACTGAGAATGTGTAGTTTTCTGTGATCTGACTGTGACCATTGTGAAAGTGATATCTTTTTTGTAGCAAGTATTCTGTCAAATAAACCACCTTCTGAATGGGTGCTTATCTCCATCAGAGAGTGTGCCACAGTGGAACACAGAATCACCAAGAAAGAGAATGTAACTTTTTGAGAAGTGGTGCTTTATAAGGTCAGGCCCCTGAGCCAAGGGCCACAGGCACTAAATGCTTTTTTTTTTTTTTTTTAATAGCCCTTAATATTGCAATAGAATACTGGCAAATGTAGTCCTTTTTAAGTATCTGGGTGCCATTTTTAAACAGCTAAATGGTAAGGGATATCTAGAAACTTTGTGTCATCAACACATACAGTGAGCTGCTTCTCTTTGGGAAACAATTGAGGAGTCATCTTGGAAGGGCCACCAGGCACCCAGGTTGGGGGAGGCTGCTACTTCCATAGCAGAGGCTGACCTGCTTTTTCCCTTGCCGTTCCAGCAGTCATCCTCATTGCCATTTCCTGCTGCCATCCTCTCATCATTGCAAACAGTGCTTGGCAGGGAGGACCAGAACTTCTTAGCTTGTTTCAGTTTTTCCTTGACATCAGTAACCTACAGAAAAAAAAAAAAAAACAAACAGGAAAAAGGTCCAACCTTGTACAAATGTAAAACTACCATGTGTGATCCCAGCACTTGGGAGTCTGAGGAGGGAGCAATGGTTCAAATTTGAGGTCAGTGGTGTCTGATGTACATGGAGTTCCAAATCAGCATGGTATACAAAGCAAAACCAACTCCATTTTTGCCAGTGGTATATCCACTGACAAGTTGCCCATGATTCTGTAAATAACTCTTCACACTTGCTTCTGAAAGCAAGCCTAGTTGACACACACACACACACACACACACACACACACACACACAATCAGAAGGGAGACTAATTAAGAGGACAAGAAAGGGTAATAGAAATGAATATGATCAAACCACATTCATATTTAAAACAAACCATAGGGCTGGAGAGATGGCCCAGTGGCTAAGGGCACTTGCTGTTCTTGCAGATGACCTGGGTTTATTCCTAGTACCCACTTGATAGCTCACAGCTACCTAGAACTTCAGTTTCAGAGGATCCGATGCCCTCCTGTGCCCTTTCCATTTACTAGGTATACAAGTGATACACACACACACACACACACACACACACACACACACGCACGCAAACAAAACACTCATACACATGAAGTAAAATGATAATAAAAACCACAAGCAAGCAAACAATGTTACCATAAGGCCATCTCAAACAACTAAGTGAAACCCAAACTACTTATGGATATACCTTTTGGTCATTTCTAAAGATCTCTGGAATTATATGCAACTCACTGTTTCAGTTATAGGCTGAAGAAAAATATAAAGGCTTTACACTCAGAAACAATCTCTCAGAGGAATTGACAGGAAATTCTAAAGGAGCTACCTGGATCCACTGCCCACCTCCTCATGGGACTGCCACCTGAAGCCCACCCAGCCCTTACCCTGGAAACACAGTCTTTTCATCCCAGGCTTTGTTCTGAATCAAGTATCCACCATTACACAAGGAAACTTGACTGGCATTATTCTTCCTCCTTTTACATCAGCGTCCTGTCAAGCTACCTGCTCTGCATTCCCTCCTGCTACTGTAATAGCACTCCCAGGTTGCCATAGCGTGCTGCCAAATATACAATCTGCCTCTAGCCTATCATCCTAGCCTACCACAACATCTTTTCACCTTACATTAGGAAGCCTAGACCATGTGGCTCTCTGCCCGCACCTCACTTTAGCTTTAAAATCCCATATACTAAAACATATCATGGATGTTTCTTAAATATTTAAAATACAACGAAGACAAACTACATCAAGGTTCTTTTGCTCTATGAAGACGTTTACTTTGAGAAGGTGATTAGGAAAGAGTAGCCAATGGTAAAGACACTTTTTCTGCCCAAGTAAGGACTTCCAGAGGGACCTCTTCATTTGCTTATGTACAAGATGAACATGGTCATGTCTGGACCTTTTGTGTATGGTGCAAATAATGTGTTATAAATTGGCATTATTTTATTAGTCAAACAAGTAAATCCATGCATGACCTTAACAAGTTAATGTTGTCATATAAAATCAAATTCAAGATTTTCAGTTGTTCAGTTATGAAGCTATTTTGGCACTGACTAAGCAGCTTAGACTAGCACCCTCTCCTTTGGTTGAGGCCTTTTGAGACCAAAGCCCTGTCTCATTGCCCTGAGCTTCCCCTTGTGCATAACCTAATAGTGGGTATATAACAGATGCTCAGTAAACACACAGTGACATTAAAGAAAAAGTATGGAGATGACACTTGTTACAACCCATTTCCTTGACTATAAAGGAATGTTCCGCAGCAGAAAATGAGGCACATTTATTGCCGTACTCAATAGAACCAGACAAAAAAGTTAGCATGTAAGACTCACGCTTCTATGCCTTCCAACAAAAAGTTCATCTTGGAGCAAACGTTTGTAGTTCTTTGCCATTAAACACCCCCATTCCTGCTAAAGTGCTCACCAGTCGGTCCAAACTAGTGCCAGCTGCTGTGGTTGGGCGTTGCTCTGGATGATAAGGTCTGAATCGAGGACTGAAGGCACTTTCAGAGAGGGAGCGAGAAATCCGTCCAGCTGGGAGAGGCTTTGGAGGCCCACAGCCTTGGAAAACCTGCAGAGGAAGTCAATGAATTTCTATTAGGGACGGAATACAAGACACAGGGGTATCCCTAGCTGTCCTGCCCAGCATCCTGCCTTCAATACCTTCTGAGACACTTGCACACTATTATCCTGCATGTTCATGATAGCATCCGAAATCTTCACATCGATGGGATCCATAACTGACTCAATGTTGAAAGGGCCCTCCAGCCTCTCCGCCACCATCAGCATGGCATCTAACACGGTTTGGAGAAAAACAATACAGCACAGAGAGTAAACCGTTAGCTCAGATTTGTGTATCAGTCTCATCATTTTATTGTCTTCGTTTTCTTGAGAGAAAGTGAACAGATTTTTTTTTTCAGTTTATTCATATTTTCTAGTCATTTTCATGATTTCAAATTGCATCTGCATGTTATATATCAGTAGCATGGTAAAGTATGAAGGGGACAGATGAGTGCTTTGTTCTGTGGCAAGGCAACTCAATGAGGAACCTTCCATTATTTGGATTATTCACTTCTTCGAACGTCAGCCAGTACCCAGCTGACACCCTACGGCTGGGGACAGAGTAATATGTCCACTCTCCCATACACTTCCCTGGGAATTTTTCCTTTTAGGTTCTATTTACGAGAGTTGATACCATAAATCAGTTACAATCCTGGCATACGGATGCTTTGCTTCTTTTAATAAGACATTTCAGATCCTCAAGCGCCGAGCTGGATAATAGAAATGGAAGTGTTCTGGAAATTCTAATGACTTCAAGTAATGAAACTTTGAGTCATGCCATTTAGGGGTTAACATAAACTCATTTTTAAATGTGAGGGTCTCAACCGATTTAACAGTAGTATGAATGCCTTTTTGCAGTCTAGTGAAATCAGGAGACAAAACACAATGCACAAAAATTGTTCTTTTGTGGTTTGTACTTTCACTGATACTTGCAAGTCACTTTTTGATTTCAGAGGAAAGTGGCATTTTCTTGCAAGTACCGGATTCCTTAAAGAAAACAAGCTGTTTCATTTTGTTTTGTTTTTTGGGTTTTTTTGGTATATGTACTTTTGGGGATTTTAAGTTGGTATTTTTTTTCCTGATACTTGTACAAGAGTAGAACTCTTCTAAACAAAATCCACTCCACGGAGAAAAAAGGATACATAATTATTAGCAAGCACTAAACTTAATTGTTTTCTGTTTTATTATTACTAATTTGTGTGCGGTGGGTGTCTGTCTGCATGTAGGTATGTGCAAGTGAGAGTGGGTGCCTGAAGAACCACAGTTGTCTGATCCCTTGGAGCTGGAGTATAAGGGCACCTGGCCTGGGTGATTGAAACCAACTTGTGTCCACTGGAAGAGCAGTAAACAGCTGAGCCCCAGCAGTGAACTTTTAAATGGGATTTTCTCCTTTACACTCCAGTGCTAATGAATGACAAGGGAAGGAGTTAGATCTCCATTGTCAACTCCTACAGATACTTCAACGTCAAGAACTAGAAAGGAGTATTCTTTTTCAGAAGGCTGGGTGGCCTCTTACCTGCTAGCCCAGCTGAGCTGCTATGTAAGCTTTCTAGTGCAGAAAAGGCCTTAAATATCAGCATATAAATGAAATCAAAGTCAGTCATCAACCTTTTACCTTCAACCTACAACAAATGCTACACTGCATTTTAAGGTGTGAAGTCATTTCTCTAAACTACAATTCCAATGTCACCAACCAATGAACGGATTTCTGTGAAGTGCAATGTTTTAAAGTAGTCAATGAAGTTTCAGACTGCACTGTGGGAAGTACCAATGATGTGATGCCTCTAACCTTTACGTAAAGGCTGACAGCATGAATATGCCATTGTACCAGAGGAAAGAGGAAAACAAATGCTTTTGATGTGCTAGTGAAAGGCAACTTTTGCAAACAAGTGGAGCACAATGTAAATGTGTTCAGCACTGTCAAAGTGTCAGGACCGCCACATACAGAAAGCACATTCCTTCGCAAGCCGACAAATTGCTGCGTCCAAATAAAATATTATGAATAGGTAATAAGCATCTCAAATTCAGAGGTTGAAATGGAGGAGAGGTTCATGTTGTACTTACTTATTCCCCTAGTGGTGAGGAAAGGCCAGATTGCTTGCTAATGTGTTGGTGAAAGACTGAAAGGAATCATAAACCCCAATTTGGCATCTTTGTAAACTCAAGAGATGTTGGCCATACACAAGGGCCTGGGAATGGAGATGGAAACCGGGCCTTTGTTGGAGCTGGTGCCATGGCGTTGCGTGCTGCGCAGCTGAAGAATGCAACGGAGGAGGCATTCTGCCTGTGGCTCACAGCCCAAAGCCAAAGCTGTCTCTAACCCTGCAGGAAGTTATGACTGGCCATCTATTGGCTCTTCTATAGCTGCCACACCACCAATCCACCCCTCCCCCAAAAAATGTCAAGAAAAATCTATAGATGTCTGGTTTTGGTGTTTTGTTTTTCTTCTGTTTTATAGAGGCCACAAGTCTCATATGCATGGGCGTTTCTCTCTCGCTCGCTTTTTTTTTTTTTTTTTTTTTTTTTTTTTTTTTTTTTTTTTTTTTTTTGCTATTGCCTCCCACCAGGAACTGGCTGGTGTCCCTGTCAGCAATTCCAGTACTAAATTACCATTGGCAGCAAGCAACATATGACATTAATAGGGTTGGCTCTGAGTCAAATGAATGTTAACAGAGGCACAGTATGACAGACAAGTTGAACCTAAGAATAATGTATGATTTTCTGAAAAGCAACTTCTTTTGGTGGTAGTGGAAGGACAGGCATTTGTTTTGCTTTGAAAATTGAAGGCTAGTCTGTTGTAAAGGTGAGTTTCCAAAAGTATTTCCAATATCTGGACCCAAATTTGGTCCCATCCTGATGACACAACTTCAGCATTTAGAACTTGTAGTGAAAGACAGATGCAGTTGTGGGTGCAGGCAGAGCCCACTGGCAAGGCTGACTTGAAAAAAAAAAATATCCCTGCTCTATTGCAGTAAGAGTCTTGAGTCTGGTCCAACCACAAGACCAACTCAAGGCACTGGTCTAAATGCTCCCTCCCAACTCACCCAGAAGAGCATCCCTTTCTTGGGAATCAGCAGTACTGGGAAGGGACAAGTAAATGTAATTGGGATGAGTATGATCAAAAACATTATATGCATGTATGAAAATGTCATATGAAACCCATTATTATATATAATTAACATATGCTCATAAAAAACAATGCTGAAAAATAAGTATCCCCCTTCTCACTAGGGAAAGTGATTCCTTTTTCATTGTGTCTCCAATAAATGATCAGAAGCCCACATCTTTAGCCTCCCAACCTGACTGGAACAGCTGAATGCATTTTCCTAACTTAACCCCAAGGTGTGATTTTAAATGGATAAAACAAATCCTTGACTATTCAGCAACTGTGTAGTCATTTTAACAGCAAAGAAAAATTCCTCAGAGACACAGACAGACAGACAGACACACACACACACACACACACAAAACATGTATGTAACAAAGATTGAATTCTACAACCATGGAGGAAATTAATTAAATCACTGTGAAAAAAAATCCATGAAAAAGAACAGGAGATTAACATGTCTATTATGCTTGTTGTTTTACACCATCTTATTAGGAATAAAGAGTAGTGTATCCATCCATTAAAAAGGTTTATATACAAGTACATACTATATCACTCCAAAAAGAATCATTTAAAATAGCTGTAGAAAATCAATTCCAAAATCTCATCCATTTCCACTTCAGTTTAGTTTTATTTCTTCACAGACAGCACATGCAATTTTAAAAATACACTATAAGAACCTCAGCAGCAAACTAAAGCTGAAAACATTAATTAAGCTGGCCAGAGTACTGTTTTGATCTGTAATGTGTTAGAAAAGCTATAGAGAAATTTGTAGTTTAATACATAAATGTGAGAGGGTCTTGGTAGTAGTTACTGTTGGACAGGCTAAAATAACAGAACACAAGGTAGGAAATGTCCTCGTGCTGCCCTAAAGGTGCCTAAGTAAGAAAAGAAGTAAAGCTCAATCATTGTCACCGCATGCCAAAATATTCCCTTGTCCCAGAGAAAAGCCTACTATGTGCAAAAGTTAAATAATGCTCCACCGTCCTTCTTTAAGAACAAATTTAACTAGCTGTGGCACAGTTCAGCTGTAATCCCAGTCATCTGGCGGCAGAGGCTGGAGGTCAGCCTAGACTACATGGCAAGGAAAACAAAACAAAGCAAAGCAAGCAAACTAAAATTAAAAAAGAAAAACAAAACAAAGTACACAACCAACCCAAATTGTAATTTATGAAGGAAAATTAGGTGAATTACAAATTCAACAATTGCCTATGGAGAGGGGCTAATGGGGAAGGGGGGTAAGGGGATGACCTTACATTGTAGGTCACCACAGTGAGCTCCCAAATGAGGTCAGGTCACTGTGATATCCTTCCCATTGGGGTCACCATATCATAGTCCCCTAGGTAGGAAAGGAAGCAAAGCTTCCTGGCCTATGGAAAATACCATAGTTTTTATTCCCATAGGAAATTTATGATTTCTTCCCTGGTTTAATTCTGGGCATATCACATCATTTGTGTTTGTGTGTCCTTAGGGTTTTATGCCTCCCCTTTCATAAGATTCTACTTTTCTGTATGAAAAATATTTTTAACAGGGTTTCCAACTTTGAGGTATTTATGCCATAATTGTGCTTAAGTGCTTAATATTTACATGGGAGTAAATATGGGAGTCAATTTATTGATGCACTTTCAAGCAGATGTAATGTGGCAATTCATTCTCATTCAGTCTAAAAAGAATTTTCTTACTCCAAATCCCTCTACAAAAGAAAGAAAAGAAAGAAAGAAGGAAGGAAGGAAGGAAGGAAGGAGGGAGGGAGGGGGGAGGGAGGGAGGGAAGACAGAAAGGAAGAAAGGAACAAAGGGAGAAAGGAAGAAAGGAAGGAGAAAGAGAGAGAGAGAGAGAAAGAAAGAAAGAAAGAAAGAAAGAAAGAAAGAAAGAAAGAAAGAAAGAAAGAAAGAAAGAAAGAAAGAAAAAAGATTAAGACCCCCACACAACAAACAAAATGAAACAAAGCAAAACCAGGGCAGCAAATTACATGCATGCTCCCATGATGTGAGAGATTTAGTGAAAACGTGGTTCGTATGCAGACATTTTAATGTGCAATTCTGGAAATGTGACCAGGGAATGGGAGAATAAACTGTTCACGTTCCATCAATGCGAGGCCTTGTGAATTCCAATACTGACCATGGAGGTTTCAGGACTGATGTACACACTGGGTGCTAAAGTAGATGACTGTTCCATGTTTACATCAGGCTTGTGTCTTCCCCGAAATCATAATTTGCCCTTCTCAGAACCTAGCTAGTTTGCTTAGAGTGCTGTCTGGGTTCTAGTAATGTTTTCCTAAGTGGGAAAAATACTCAACAGTCCTACTTTCTAAATAATCAGAGGAAGACTCTGTCCACTCACATTAAGAGATTCTACCGTGGCCAAGTTCCCTGCATAAAACAAATCCAGCAATTTTCCCCATCAATGTACTGATCCAATGATCAAATGGGTATCTGGCCCGTTTGCCAAAGGTTTGGTTGCAATGCAAAGAAAGGACAGCGCTTGTGTGCATCCATGTACACGTGTGTGTGCACACTTCAGGTTCCCCAAGAATGCTACCGTCACCTTATTTTTTTTTTTCTTTAGGACAGGGTCTCTCACTGGCCTGGAGCATGAAGCTTAGGATGGGCAGGCTGTCTCTGCCTCCCAAGCCTTGGGAGTGCTTTTTTTTTCTGATCCTGGAGATCAAACATGGGCTCTTTTCTAGAAACAAACAAGCACTTTATCAACTGAGCCACCTGCCCAGCCCAAGAGACAATCTTCAAAGCTCTACTTTCATAGCTCTGTGAAGACTGTACACCGCTGTGAACATGAGCACAGTCCTAGGATGGGGACCAAAACTGAGCTTTTCACACAAAAGATCAAAAAGATGCCTCTGTAGCATTAAAAGTAGGTGTGCCTAACAGTCTTCTGAAAGGGGACACTGACTTGAAGTGCTGATTTTACTAACGTCAAAGTACTACTTGTAGCACAGACTGGACTGTGGCCAACATCTAACACTAAAATGAATCGAAAATTTCACAGATGGCAATCATGACAGTCCCTGTGGCCAGAAGCGGAATCATCTCTAGCAAAACAAATACATCAGTTGCTTGCTCACCTATGAAATTGTTCCACTCAGAATCGAGGTCTCCTTGGTTGGCCAAACAGCCTCTCATGATGTTTGAGCAGTAGTTGTAACAGGGCTTCACAGTGACCAGGCCCCGGCAGTGGGAGCAATAGATCATCCTCAGCAGTGCTTGGGTGCACTGGGCTGTGGGGTTCACCTAATGTGTGACAAGAAAAAGAAGTAAAGTCATGGATGAGTTAAGAGACACCACTGACATTGTAGCATCAACCATGAACTTAAGGATGAGTTAGTACTGTTCCCAATTAGGAAGTTGCCTGTAACAGAAGTGGATCAAGAATGAGATGAGCCAAGCGGAAGACAGGTGCTAGAAAGCTGGAATTAGAGTTGGCATGAGTACTACATTTGTTAGTGCTAGTGCAGATGGAACTCAAGACCTTGTGTTTCACTTTCTCCAGCCCGCCATTGCTTTTCGGTGCCAGATTGAAACATGCGTACAATTTCTCAAATACTGACTGTAAGATTGCCCTTTACACCTTCATCCCCAACTGTGTTTCCTGTGGATACCTTGTGTACACTGTTCTATGCTCCAAACTATGCAGTCAGTGAAGAGAATATATTCTCTAGGGAAAGGTATGAAGAACGTTAAACTTTGCAGGGTTTGCTAAGCAGTCAAACAGCAAAGATAAAAACCCTACTGAAGTCAGACTAGGTTAGCCAACCTCAGCAGAGAAATGGCATTTACTGTCATCTTTCTAGTTCTGCAAGATAAAATTGTTTGGGATCATGAAAGAGCCAGTTCCGCTGTGTTGTTCATTTCCATCAGCAGTTAGAAAGGATCACAGCTAGGTATCAAGTGCTATAGCACTTAACTGAAAGTTCCTGACCTATGCTCTCTGCCCTCTTCTCTTCTAGAGCCTTTCTTGGAGGATTAGTGCACTCTTTACTGTCATCATCAACTAGTTCTTCAAACATAGATTTTTAGAAGCAGGTTCTATCACAGGGAGCAAATACATCCCAGAGATGCTATGTGTCATTGGGATGCTGGGTGGCATTGGAACTGCATGTCACCTGCTCTGGTGTGTTACTTTGGGTATCACTTGTCAACAGTACCCACAGGAATAGGAACAAGACATTAATACTGTCAGTCTCCTATCTGATATGTATTCTCTCTCTCTCTTTTACACACACACACACACACACACACACACATACACACACACACACACACACACACACCCTTCTCTGGCTTATTTCCAATGGAACTCTAGCATAAAAGGGGAAAACAACAAGATGGTAATTGTATACACTAAAATCAACATTCTCTACAAAGAGTTAGAAGTTTTCCACAGTCTTAACCAGTCCCAAATGTTTTCCTAAGCATTAAATTAGTCCCTTTAACTGTGTATTAGTGTACAGTAAAATTCTGGCTGACCAATGTCCTTGAGGGATTGGCCCCTTTAGATAACTAGATTTTCTGGATAGCTAAAAGTTCATTCCTTTGGAGTCACTCATTATTAGGACTTTGATACTCATTCACCTCTCATGCTACAGATGAACAAACAAACCTCAAGACCAAAGGGTGCCCAAGTCACACCGGAAGGGGCCTAGCCTAACACCAGTGATGCCGCTCTCACACTGCAGAGATAAGCACATGCAGCCAATGAGATTAAACAACCTGCTGACAGACACCCTCCCACATTTCATTCCAGTATCACACCTTATCAAACACACCGACACAAAGATTCCCCAGATGTGTCACGTTTTCCTGCTATCATAAACAGAAGATAGCAAACTCTGTTCTTAGGCAGTGCTTCTTTTCTTCTTTATTTTTGGTTCCAGTCCACATCAGAGAGACTGCTAAATGGCTGGATCTTAGCGATGTAAAGGTTACGTAAATGACTTATAAAGCCCCACGATACAGCTGGATGTGTTAGAGCATGCTTCTAATCCCAGACTTGGGAGGCCGAGGCAAAAGGACAGCAAGTAAAAGTCAGTCTGGGCTAAACAGCGAGGCCCTGCTTTAAAAAAAATAAAATTAGAGAGAGAAGAAACCAGCAGAGGAAGAGGAGGAGGGATGAAAGGAGGAACAGGAGAATTATGAGAGAGTACTTGGCATGTTGAACATTATTCTTAAGAGCCAATAATGTCTTGGTGTCATAAATGTAGAAAGCTAAAGTGTCAATAAGTAGATAGGGAGCATTCAATATGTGCCTGGGATTATTCTGTGAGATATCAAGATAGGTGAGAGTTTTTTATTAGAATATGAAACCTGTTCTATAGAACACAAAGAAATCCCAACATAGAACAGATCTTTAAGAAGTAAACAAAAATGTTCAAGTCAGATAATTAGATTCAAGAAGCAGTTTCCAAAACACTTGTTCTATTATTTATTTTCATGGAGTGGGGGAGATAACTCTAGGAAGCAAGCTAAATGAGTCTGGTAAGTTCTCCAGTTTAAAATCAGAGACCAAATGAAATGACATGACACAGTGTTTAGTTTAAGGAAGATTGTGGAGCTGGGTTTGGCAACGTTTTGCAGGCTTATGTTCTACATGTGATTTGTTGCATAACTACTAAAAATGATCGCAAGGTACTTGACTATAAGATGCTATGGGAACACGAAATAATACCACAACTGTAAAGAGAGATGGAAAAATTGTAAGAATACCGGGACAAAAGAACAAGTTAAACACTAAAGTTAGAGAGAGAGAGAGAAAAAAAAAAAGAAGTGTTCTTAATATTCACAGTCATAAATCAGACCACCACGTACTAGTTCACATGAAGGGAATTCAGGGCCTGGGAAGTAAATCCCATGTGTTAGATGAGACCATAGTATAAAGGGAAGAGTTTTGTTTGTTAAAAACAGCTAAAAAAGTAGGAGTCCCCACAGGACCACCCTCCAATCTGGAAGATATTTCAATAAACTAGCATTCCAGGCTTTAGGCCCCAGCTTGACCAACCTACCCAAGCCTCAATGGTAGATGCAGTGTAACAAGGATGGACTCTTCATTCTAACTCTGTAAAATCCCCACCCCTCTGGGCTACAGCAAGTGGCTATCTCTTCTGGAACCCCAGAGGACTTCTTAGTAAAAGGTAAAGTAGGTCGGTAAAAAGTCAAAAGTGTGCTAATCAGTACAGAAAAGAAAAGGACATCTAATAATGTGTGTCTCGCGGTGCATTGAAAATTCTCCTCTGGAGTCTCTGACAAAAGCCCTATGCCCTGTTGATCCAGTGATGGTTCTTGGCTGCCTGTCACACAGTAACAGGCCATGCCCTGCAAGATGCTTTTCCACAAGTTCCCAGTGGAGTATCTACACTCCTGGGTAGGAGTGAAAGGTCGGATCGTTCTCATACATATAAAATGTCGTATTTTATTTTGGGACTCGGCTGGCCTTGAACTCAAGAGATCCACCCTCCTCTGCTGGGATTAAAGCAATACGCAACCACACCTGGCTCTGGGACCTTTTTAAAAGAGAAAATCAAATTCACGTACATTCTATTCCCTGGTGACCATCTCCCCTCCCCTACCCCCCCCAAAAAGAGCCAATAAATACCGCCTACATTCTCTCTAAAACCTACTAACATAGATTTACTTTGTAAGTCCCCAAACCAAGTAGCAGACCATGCAACATGGGGACTAATTAAAAGAGCAATATACTCCAAAGTCTCCCTTTCCTCCTCCGTTACGTATTTATCCTCTATGGCACAGCATGCCACTTCAAATGCTCAATCCAATTGTTACTTTGGAGCACATCTCTTGACTAATAGTTGTTATGTTTTTTTCTTTCATTCAGAAAGGTCTGCTGAGTCCAGATGTTAATTACTCCCAGAATCCTTAGGGCTGGAATAAGAACATGGGTGGAGCTTTATGATTATATTTCAAAAGACGTCACTATTTTTAAGACTTCTATAAGGGATCTAGCTATTTCTCAAAAGCTTATGAAGACAGAACTGGAAAAAAAATATATATATATACCTCCCATCTATCTTTGAACAAAAATATGGTTTAAAAGCACTCAGAAAGAACATGCCTGTTTAGCTTTACAGTTCTCTGTCTGTCTCTGTCTCTGTGTATGTGAGAGAGAGACAGACAGACAGATATGGGGTTCTTTTGGTAAGTAGGAGAGCTGAAAGCTGAACCTTGGACACAGGTAGTCTGGTTCGAGAGAGCATGCACTTCACTTCCTTGATGTCCAACATTTTTTGTCAGTGATGAGAATCAAATGTAGGTCTCACAAATGCCAGGAAAGTGCTATGCCCCAGATGCCTTGTGGAAAACCTAACCAGCTTCTTTGGAATCAAAAACTATAGGAAACGTGAGGGCAGCAGAGGGCTTCTCAGACTTCACACACTATCTGCCACACTTGGTGAACACTCAAGCTACAGGGCTGGATGCTTTCTACTGATAAGGTGTAGTTTTTCATGTTTCCTGAAGAAATGAATCAAGTTTGATGTTAGAGGGCAATTTAGGACATGACTATATGGAGTAGTGCATACTAGATACTTGGAGGGGAGAACATATTGTTTAATAAAATAATAATGACTTACTGAGTGCCAGCACCATGCCTTGAAAACTGTCCAAGCTGCTACAGGGGTGAGCAAAGAGATATAATTATAGTGTATTACTCACCAGCCCTGCTAGGAAAGGCTTCAAAGGCTCAAGAAAGCACCACTGGACATGGTAGAGGGAAGTTCACTTGGCTGGGGGATGCAGATGAGTGGCAGAACACTTGCTTAGCAAGCACAAGACCCTGGCTTTTATCCTTAGTACCATCCTAAGCTCCCCCTTTAGCAAAACAAACTGGAAAACACCTCATATTTTATCTAAGTTCTGAAATTTTGAAAGAACTGCAGCTAAGTGTAGCAGGGATAATAAATTCCTACCAGGAAGGATAAGGTTTATTGAAGAAATTGTGGTACTTTTACACAATGGAATACTACTCAGCAATTAAAAACGAGGAAATCATGAAATTTGCAGGCAAATGGTGGGACCTAGAAACAATCATCCTGAGTAAGGTATCCCAGAAGCAGAAAGACACACATGGTATACACTCACTTACATAGACCTTTAAGATAGGATAAATATACTGAAATCTATACACCTAAAGAAGATAAATAAGGAAGAGGACTTGGGGTAAGATGACCAATCCTCACTTCGAAAGACAAATGGGATGGACACTGGATGTAGGAGAAAAC